ATAAAATAAACGAGAGAGAGAGAGAGAGAGAGAGAGAGAGAGAGAGAGAGAGAGAGAGAGAGAGAGAGGTGATCTGGGGATGGAATCCTAGAACACAGCAAGTCTGACACGTTCCCACCTCCAGACCAAAGCTAACAGCCACAAGCACCAGGTCTGAGGCAGTCAGAAATGTCAAGCTTTAGCCCTTTGCCATCCTAACCTTCATGATCAACCACTCACATTCACTCATTCACCAAATATTTATTGGGTGCCTACTAGGTGTCAATCACTGCTCTGGAAGCTGGAGATATGCAGTCAACAAAGAAGAAAGATCTCTTTTCCATTATGGGGCAGGACAACAAGCATAAACAAGAAAAGTCAGTAAAATATGCTGTGTGTGAAATGGGGATGAGTGATGCCAATTGTTGAGTGGGGACAATTCTAGATATGTTGTCCAAGGGAGGCCTCACTGGGTAGTGATATTTAAATAAAACCTGAAGGAACCGAGGAGTGAGTCATGGAGACAGCTGGGAGAAAGCACGCCAGGCTAGGAGAGCTAGTGCAAAAGCCCCAAGGAAGAGGCAGCCTGCTTGGAGCAGGAGAAAAGACAGGAGATGAGGTCAGAAATTTAAGGGGATGAGATCGTGTAAGGTCGTATGAGCCCTGTGAGGATTTGGGCATGTGCTATTAGGGAAATGGGGATTTGATGGGAAATTTGAGCAGAGAGCTATAAACGTATTCTTTTAATAGGATCACTGGCCACTGAGACAGAAGCAGGGAAATGAGTAAGAGACACCTGCAATGACACAGGCGAGAGATGAGGGACAGTTGGAGGCAGCTGAGATACGTGGTAGGATTCTGCATATTCCTTGCTCATGGGTAGCATGGAGGAGGAATGAAAGAAGGTGTCAATGATGATAGTTTTGCTTCAGATCTTCATTGGGCACTAACGACTTCCAAATCTATACTTCTGACCAGACTCCTTCCTGCCCAGGGGCCTGGCACACAGCAGGGAATTGACATTAACATTTGGTGGACTGAAATGACAAAAAGTAGATGAGTCTGTTTGGTTGGTGACACAATTTTTCCAGGCCTTTACCAACATATAGTCTACCTCCTGATAGACTATGGAGGGAGGTACAGAAAAAAGAGCTGCCGTGTCCCCATCTTGGTCTAAAGTAAGAAATTGAGAGAGGCCGAAACCGGTTTGGCTCAGTGGATAGAGAGTCGGCCTGTGGACTGAAAGGTCCCAGTTTCGATTCTGGTCAAGGGCATGTCCCTTGGTTGAGGGCACATCACCAGTTGGGGGTATGTAGGAGGCAGCTAATCGATGATTCTCTCTCATCGATGTTTCTAACTCTCTATCCCTCTCTCTTCCTCTCTGTAAAAAAAAATCAATAAAATATATATTTTTTAAAAGAAGTTGAGAGAGGACAGAAACTGAAACAGGGCCATACCTAACTCTTCCAGTAAGAAAACCAGAGGGGGGGGGCAGTGTGTGGGAGGGGGACACAAAAATTTTTTTTAAAATGCCAAGAATGATGGATATAGTTTTGGGTTTTTTATGTCAAGAGACTGGGTGCTAATCCCAGCTGTGCCTCTTAACTCAATCTCGTCCCTTCACGGCTCCCATTTTTCCTTCTGAAAACAGAGAGGCAGGCTCTCTGAAAAGAGAGTCTGTCCAGCTGTAAGTCTCCCAGTGCGGGGATCCTTTTCCTGCAAGGCCTGTCTCCTCTAATCACCTGACACGCTACTTCTCCAACGTTGTTCTTAGGAACGTTGTTCTGTTTCCTTTCAGAATGATGACTCTGACTCTGAGTCTAGTAAGATGTGTCTCTACCAGTTCCCAAAGAAAAACACCCGTGCCTTTTTTGCCTGCTTAAAAGTAAATACCACCTTAGGCCTGTTAGCCCATCTATAAAGGGGGAATATACACCAGATCGCTGGGATGCCGAGCAGGGTTAATTACATACAGACCGTGTAGGGGTTAAGCAGACACACAAATGTGCTGGAAGTTCTTGGCATAATACTATAGTATTACAATAATTTTGGCTTGCAAATTACACCCCAGCCAAGGTATCACATGGAAAAGTGGGTCTGATCCCATGGCCTGCTGAAAGTGAAATGAAAAAAAACAAGTTGTAAAATATAACGTTTCTTCCTAACCCTTTGAAAAAGGCAGAGACAATGCTTCCATGTGCAACCCACATGCAGGGAACACATTTCCAGATCCTGGAGAGGACTCTCTTGTCCCGGGTCACCTGGCCTGTTGCCAGGATCTGCTGATCTTCCTTCCTGAGCCTAGAAGCAGAGATGGGAGGGGAGGGAGGGAGCCAGAGAAGATTTGTGGTTGGTTGAAAGGTGGGACTTAAATGAGAATGTCTTTCAGTTTTTCTATTCAGGCCTCCCTTACTTGAAGGATAATTAAGTGCTTACAGAGCAGCAGAATGACTTAAAGTGTAACTTGAGATATTTAAGTCTAGGAATACCCAAAATAAACATCTTGGCCAGGTCAATTTCTGGGTCCTTCCACCATCCTCTAGACCAGTGGTCAGCAAAATCGTTAGTCAACAGAGCCAAATATCAACAGTACAAGGATTGAAATTTCTTTTGAGAGCCAAATTTTTTAAAACTTAAACTTCTTCTAACGCCACTTCTTCAAAATAGACTCGCCCAGGCCGTGGTATTTTGTGGAAGAGCCACACTCAAGGGGCCAAAGAGCCGCATGTGGCTGGCAAGCTGCAGTTTGCTGACCACAGCTAGACACATCTTACACATACACACACACATACACATACACACACACACACGCACACACACACACACACATACACGACAATGAACGGGTTGTATAATCTGCAATGGTGTCTGTAATTGTGTGGGTCTGAAACATTTTACTGGCTCATAGAAGATGATAATGCAATCTGAGCAAAGAGGGAAAGAGCAAATAACTTGATTGGGAAAGGACAATTTGCATTCTATTCCATGGCTTCATTGTGTGCAGCTGAGTGGAGAGAGCACAGGATTCAGAGTAAGACACAAGTCTGAGTCCCGGTTCTGCCACTTTGTGGAAGCGTAAGTAGAGGGACAGTAAACAGCTGTTGATCCCTTCCTGTCCAGTCTCGGAGTTTGACCTCCACCTCTAGGGTGGCCAGGACACAGCCCTGGTCTTGTTGGTAGGACAAAGGTAAAAAAGACTCTCCCAATGTCCATTTATAAAATACAGGTAACAAGTTGGGATTTTTAAAAATTTGTGCTGTAAGATTTCTTAGAGAATTCCTCAGGCTTCAGTTCTCAGACCTTAAAGTAAGTAAATTCTGGGGCTTGCCCAGCCAAATTCAAATGAACTCCAGCTCTAGTGGCAGTCACCTCATTTCCAGGCAGTTCTTGTCTCTACCTGGAGCATGCCGCTGTCCTGAAAAGCAAGCTGGGCCCCTGCTTCTGCCTCAGTTTCCTCATTTTTTTATTCATATTCAAAGGACGGTCTTAAGTTGCAAAGCAGAGACGCATGTATGTGGTATCATTCCGGAGCCACCAGTAGGGAGAACTGGCGCCCACTGTGTACCTGGGTGACTTTCTCTGGGCCTCAGTTTCTCCATCCGCAAAACGAGGTCCCCGAAATGAAATGGAGTCTTGTCAGCTTCTTACAATGTAGGCATTCAACCTTCCCACAGCGTGCTCCGCCAGGGAGGCCGCGGACAGGGTTAAAACCGCCGCTACCTCAGAGGTGAAAAGGTAAGCAAACATTCCGACCTCCCCGGAGCCTGGCGCTCGGATTGGCGCAGGACAGTGCCCGGGCAGCCCCTCCCGGCCAGCAGCAACCTCCGGCCGGATGGCTACTACCCTCATTAGCATAGATGGCTCCGAAGACCCGGCACCTCTCCCTTCAAGGAGGGGACAGCCACTCTGTCCCAAAGGGGGGGGGGGGAGAGTCTCTGCACCCCATGTCCCCCGGCGGGGCGCGCTGTAAATTAGAAATATCCCCTGTCCAACCACCTTTGCACCCTGGGGACGCCTTGGGGACACAGCGCGAGGGTCCCTGGGGATGCGGACGGGTTTGGTCCCCCGAGCGTGACAGGCTAAAGGAAGGCTGGCTACCTCTCGCCTCAGGCGGCAGCGGGCTGAAAACCTGGCGGGGCGGGCAGCGCCGCGGGATCCCGGCGCCCTCAGGCCGGAGCCCGGAGCTGGCGCCGAGGCGGCCGCGGGAGGTGGCGAGCGCTGAGGGGGAGAGGTGCGCCGGCCCGCGGAGACCCGGGCTCAGGGGGCGGGGCTTGGGCCGAGGTCTGGCGGCCGGGCTCCCGGGGGGAGGGGACGGGGCGGGGCCTGCTGGGCGGGCAGGGGGCGGAGCGAGCGCCGGCCCGGAGGGGGCGGGGCCGCGGGGCGGGGCGGGCTCTGGCGGCCCGAGTGTCACACACGCGGCGGTTCGGGAGGTGGCGGCAGCGGTAGCGGCAGGCGCCGCCGGGACGGGCACGGGCGCGCGGGCTCGGCAGGGCGCCGGCTGCCTCCCTCGGTCGCTCGTTTTCCGGCTGCGGGTCTAGGATCGTCCCAGCGCTCTCGGGAAGGAAGAAGGGGGGGTGGCTGAGGACGCCGACAAGTTCGCTCAGCAGCCAGGATCCCGGCCAAGCCGGAGGCTGCGCCTCCGAGGGACAGCAAACAGCGCGCGCCGCAGCGCACGATCGAGCGTCCGAGGCGGGGGGCGCCCGGGCCTTTCGCTCTCGGCGGGGCCGCCGGCCGGGCTCCCATGAGACGCTCCCGCGAGGGGCTCCAGATCCGAAGCCCCGGCAGCGCGCGGCGGAGGCGGAGGGCGGCGCTGCAGCTGCTGGAGCCCGGGAGCCACCGGCAGGAGGCGGCGGAGAGAACTTGAACTTGGCGTCGGGAGCTGGCGCCCCGGACGCCCCCCGCCGGGGTCGGGGCCGGGGCCGAGACCGGGGCGCCGAGGGACCTGGGCGGCTGCGCTGCCCCCCGGATGGCCGCGGCCGTGGACCTGGCTCCCGTGCCGCGGCCCTAGGCGGCCTGTCGCCATGGCCAAGTGGCTGAACAAGTACTTCAGCTTGGGCAACAGCAAGACCAAGAGCCCCCCGCAGCCGCCGCGGCCCGACTACCGCGAGCAGCGGCGCCGGGGCGGCGAGCGGCCCTCGCAGCAGCCCCCGCAAGCCGTGCCGCAGGCCTCCGCGTCCTCCTCGGCGTCCTGCGGTCCGGCCGCCGCCTCCTGCTTCTCGGCCTTGTCCGGATCGCTGCCCGACGACAGCGGCAGCACGAGCGACCTCATCCGCGCCTACCGCGCGCAGAAGGAGCGCGACTTCGAGGACCCCTACAACGGGCCCGGCTCGTCGCTGCGCAAACTGCGCGCGATGTGCCGCCTGGACTACTGCGGCGGCGGCGGCGGCGGCGGCGGGGAGCCGGGCGGGGGCCAGCGCGCCTTCTCCGCCTCGTCCGCGTCGGGCGCCGCGGGCTGCTGCTGCGCCTCCTCCGGCGCGGGCGCCGCCGCCGCGTCCTCGTCCTCCGGCTCCCCGCACCTCTACCGCAGCAGCAGCGAGCGGCGCCCCGCCACACCGGCCGAGGTGCGTTACATCTCCCCCAAGCACCGCCTCATCAAGGTGGAGAGCGCCGTGGGCAGCGCCGCCGGGGACCCCTCGGGGGGCGCCTGCTCCGGCGGCCGCACTTGGAGCCCCACCGCCTGCGGAGGCAAGAAGCTGCTCAACAAGTGTGCCGCCTCGGCCGCGGAGGAGAGCGGGTCCGGCAAGAAGGAGAAGGTAAGATGTCCCCCCCACCCCGGCCTCTCTTCAGGGCCACTGGGCCCCTGGGGAAACTGAGGCACAGCCTCTGTTCCAAGTCCCTGTATCCACAACTTCTTGCTAGGACCCCTGGGGTCAGGACTCCCACGTTCCTTCCTGATTCTGTCCCCTCCGTGCACTTCTTCCACCCTCCACCCTCACCCCACCCCCGATCGTCGGCCTCCTGAAATAACTCTTTCTCTGCTGCTCCCCAAAACGCCCCCTCTCTGAGCCCACAGCCAGGCGTCCGCTTCGGAAGTTGCCTGACGAGAAAGCCCCGCCCGGCCTTGCCCAAGAACGAGACACCCAGCCAGCCCTTCCCGCCCCCGAGGAGTAAAGTCAGAGACGGAGCTGTCACGGACTTAAAAAAGAGCGCTCACTCTGGTCTATCTCCTCTTCCCGGACCCCTACCCCCACCTCCAACCCCATCCCCACCTCCCGCGGTCTATTGATGGGAAACCGGTCCAGAGCTGGGGAGGGACTGGCCCCGAATTACACTGCATTCCTGGTGGCGGATCCGGGCCGGCTGTCTCTCAAAGTGCATATGTAAATCCCTCCTAACGCCCAGCGCGGCCCCACCCCCGGAGCCAAATGCGGGCTGTCTTCTGTGCTGGACCTGCCCCTGAAGCTAAGCCAGCTTTTCCGGAAGGGGGTCCGCCCTTCGGCTCCGCTGATAGGAGACCCACCCCTCCAATCCTCACCTTCCTTCCTGACCCTGCTTCTACCCCACACCGTCCCAGGGGTGAGGGGGACAACTCTGTGACCACCCTCTGCCTTACGTATCAGGCCATCTTGATTCCCCCCTTTGAAGCAGGCCAGTTAATTACAGCCAGACGGGCCCTCTCCTCCCTTCACACTTTTGTGAGCCTCCCTTTCCCCATAAAATGATACTTGTTCCATCTTCTGGTGGAGGCCAGTGTTTTGATTGCATCTAAGGCCGTGTCCTGCTGTGGCTGTCAGGCGGCTGTCTCTCTTGTAAACTTTTGCCCAGGCAGGGTAGTGGGGAGACTGATAAAGAGTCTGAGTTCCTTTTAGGACTAGATGTCCAGCCAAGTGGGAGACAGGCTCCTACCTACCAGCTGGCGCTTGGAAATTGATCTTTTTTGTTTCCTGTGGGGAGAAGTAAGGGGTAGCCCACCTTTAATTTTTCTGCCTGGCTTTCTCTCTCTGAGGTCCCAGGTCCCCAGGGTATCCTTTCCCAATTGGCCTGCTGATGGGCAGCATGGGCAGTCTGTGGTGGATCCCACCTCTCCCTGGGGTCAGTTTGGGACCACACCTCAGAAGCATGGGCCTTGGGCTTCCTAAGCACCCAGGATGCTCTCATCTAGATGACAAGAAGCTGGTAGCCAGGTGGCCACCCAGATGCTGCCTTGGGGAAGGGGAGATTTCTCTGAGCCTCCGGGATCACGGGCTTGTAGTTGAACCTGTAAGGAGAACACCAAAGAGGCTCCCGATCACCTTAGGCACGGTCCAGGCTTATCTAGGTGCTGGCCTGGGAGAACCTAAAATTCCTGGGTATGGAAGGTGCCAGGAAGGGCCAGCCAAAGGTGCTGGACTCCTTGACTCCGCCTTGTTACTCCATGGCCACCTGCCAGGCGGGCAAATCTCCTTTCTCTCCTGCTGCTGGTCGTCCTGCCTGCTCACTAAAGTCGTCGTCTTCTTTTTTTTGCTTTCAAAACTTTAGTAAACATTTTTCCTCACTCACAATTAAGACTATGTCAAATACTGAGGAATAATGCTTGATAGCTGGAATGTCAAGTGTGTTCAAGACTTGGCTTCATTCTGCCATCAGTTATTTCTCATGGGTCTTCGTGTGCCCTCGGTTGCTGAGTGCTGAAGCAGCCCCTCTGGTTGAATGCTGTGTCCCGGGCTGAAGAGTACATGAGGATTGCTGTGATGGGGCTTTGTATTACCTGGGACTGAAGAGGAGGAGGGGTGGTCTGGGAGGGCCTTTATCATGTTGGAGGGGTGTTGACCTTGGCTGCAGAGGAAAGGCTGGTGCTTCGGGGAGCTGCAGGTAAAGTTCCTGTAGCTGGAATTGAGAGGTGAGAGTTTGGCAGGACCCCAGAGGGACAGCAGAGGTGGGGTCAGGGAGGTTAAGCACAGTGAGGGCCAAGGAATGGATTTAGCTGCTAAGTGATGTGAGTAGATACAATTTGGGGGGGAGAAGGGGGAGGGGAGATCTCCGGGCTGCGTTTCACCTATTGGGTTGTGACTTTGAGCCCTTTGATCCTTGGAGAACTTGTTCCCATTCCATATGCTGAGGACTTGAGGCTACCAGATGTTTTTTCTAATGAGGAGGAGGGGAACAGCAAGGGAGGGTCACACTAGACAGTGGCTCTCAAATCATCACCTGGAGGGCTGGTCAAAACACCAACTGCTTGGATCCACCCCTTGGTAAGCCAGGACTGGTGCACCAAGCCTGGTGTGGGGACTGAGGATGTGCATTTCTGACAAGTTCCCAGGTGATCTTTGGCTGCTGATCCTCAACCCACTTCTGAGAACCACTAGTGCAACAGTGGCCTCTCCTGAACCCTCCTCCCTCGGGGTCTTCTGGTCCCAGCTGTTTGGGGAATGTAGAGACTCCAGATGCCCTCTGTGTGGGGCTGCCACCTAATCTGGGGCCAGCTTCCAGCCTGGTCAGGCAGCCAGGAGGCAGCCTGGTTTTCACATTATTTTTAGCCAGACAGCTTTTGGAGGCCAGGCATGCTGTAGATCCAGCCCTGAACACCCCAGAGCCTTCCATCTGCCCCTCAATCATGGATCCAGGAACACCTACTTCTAGCACCCTGCTTAATCTCAGGCCCAGCTTCCTTTTATCAGCTGGACAAGAACCTAGAGGGCTGTTGAATGCCCCCCTGTCTGCCAGGCCTGGTGTTTGTTTTTAACATTGGACCTGAGTTGAGAGTTCCTGTGTATGGCTTGGAATAGAAGCTGCCAGTCCACAGATCCTTCCTTCAGTGCCTCTAGTTCATTCTCCCTGACCTCCCACAGTATCTGTGCCTCCCTCTGTCACATACTTAGGCATCCTTCTTTTCTTCCGGGTGAGTCCTGGGGCTCTCACACACACCTGGTCACCACCGCCACTAGCATCATGGGCATTTTCCCTGTTAGAGTCATGTGGGAGAACTGTGTTTTCAACGTAACCAGCTTTCACCCAGCACATCTATTATGTTCAGAGATCTTTTGGTACCAGGGTGAGTTAGGAGGGGAGGGAAGAAAGGCTGCCGAAGATTTGTCAGGAATCTCTGGCCTATGTCGCTGGAGGAGACGGACACGCTGTCTTTTCGTCATTTGTCTCCCAGTGGTTTTGTCTTGGAAAATTTAACAAGTCTTCACCTAGGAGGCAACTTTGAGCTGAACCTAGAGGTGGAAGTGGAATTTCATTGCAAAGAAAGGGGTGACTGCAGCCTGCAGGAGCACTAGTGTGTCAGTGCTGTGTGTGTACAACGTGAATATGAAAGTGTGTCCCCATGTATGTGTGTGGTTATATATGTGTATGTACATGTAAAACCTCAGTGAGGAGCTTCTTCTTTGAAACCAAAGTTTTTTGCAATGGGCCTCGCCTGGGGAATGAAAGATGACAATATGAGAGAGATGGGGGCCTGACTTTGTACCCACCCCATCCCAGGGGGTAAGCCAGGGATGAGATGGATTTGTAGACTGGTAAGCCAGGAATGAGATGAATTTAGTCAAAGCCATGGTTGGGGAACATCCCAGGCTAAATAAACAGCTGCCACAATCTGGGGAAGATGGTGTCAGAGTTAGAGGACAATTGCAGTATAGTCCACTGGAGAGACAGTGAGGACCTGAGTGCCTGGGAAGAGAGAACAGACCTTTAGTAGGTGGAAATATTATTCCTCCAGGTTGTCTTTATTTAAAAATGATGATAGCCCAGCTGGCATGGCTCAGTGGTTGAGCATCGACCTATGAACCAGGAGGTCACGGTTCAATTCCTGGTCAGGACTTGATCCCCAGTGTGGGGTGTGCAGGAGGTAGCCAATTAATGGTTCTCATCATTGATGTTTCTATCTCTGTCTCCCTCTCCCTTCCTCTCTGACATCAATAAAAATATTGATATTTTTAAAAAAGTAATAAAAGAGGCCAGTAACTTGGTAGTTATTTTGGGCAGCCAAGCAGTCCTCATCCAGTTGTTTTCTGCTGAAGTCTTGTTTCTTTTATCATTAAGTAAATGTTTCCACCACAGCTGAAAAAGTCAAGACGCATCATGACATCAGTTTTAAATACACACTAATGCATACCGACACTTTATATTTTGTCGGCATCCACAGAGTTGAGTTAAATAACATGTTTCCTAAGGAATAAATAATATAGTGTCTAACCTTTTTTTTTTTTTTTTTTCTTAAGAGGAAAAAAAAAGCACACATTTAGCAAACAGTTTCTGAGCAGCCTGCTAAGCAAGGGGAAGTCAGAGAAAATAAATGGTGGTTAGCCTTTGAAGAATCTCAAATCTCAAACTGGGAGAATCTCAGTTTGTAGTTGAAGACACTCAGTTTGCAGCTTCTCGGGGACAATACCATGATCCAAGGAATGCTAGTGTGTGCCTAGGGATAGGAGGGCTCAACTGTCTGTCTGGGAAGTCAAAGAAGGCTTTCGAGAGGAGGCACCGTTTGAGCTGACTGGAAGGATGAGTGGGAATTCCCCAGGCTGGGGCGTGAAGAGGAAGGCTCTCCATGCAGAAGGGATAGAACAGCTGTGCTCAGGCCTGAAGGCGTGGGAGAGAATGGTTGGAGGCCCAGCAGGGCAGGAGTGGTGGGGGATGGCAGAGGGAGGTTGGAGCCACAAAAGGAAGAGAATATCTCATGTGCCTTGCTGGGAAGCTGTGACTTGTCTTTTGGTCCTTTTCACATTAGATCATTGATGTGTGGCTTGATTGACACCAGGGCAAACATGATTTGTCAAGTCATTTCCAGTTGGCTAATGGTCACACTCTCCAGCTCTAAGAAAGTAATTGACTA